ACTAGGGCTCCTTCTCCTACCAAACGAAAGGACCGCTCTGATGAGAAGTCCAAAGATCGCTCTAAAGACAAAGGGGCCACCAAGGAGTCTAGTGAGAAGGACCGCGGCAGGGATAAGACCCGGAAGAGGCGCAGTGCTTCCAGTGGAAGCAGCAGCACCAGGTCTCGGTCCAGCTCAACTTCTAGCTCAGGCTCTAGTACCAGTACAGGCTCGAGCAGTGGCTCCAGTTCGTCTTCGGCATCTAGCCGTTCTGGAAGCTCCAGTACATCTCGAAGCTCCAGTTCCAGCAGCTCCTCTGGCTCTCCAAGCCCTTCTCGGCGCAGACATGACAACAGGCGGCGTTCCCGCTCCAAATCCAAACCACCTAAAAGAGATGAGAAAGAGAGGAAAAGGCGAAGCCCTTCCCCTAAACCCACCAAAGTGCACATTGGGAGGCTTACCAGCAATGTGACCAAGGACCATATCATGGAGATATTTTCCACCTATGGGAAGATTAAAATGATTGATATGCCTGTAGAAAGGATGCATCCTCATCTATCCAAAGGCTATGCGTATGTGGAGTTTGAGAATCCAGATGAAGCTGAGAAAACACTGAAGCACATGGATGGAGGACAAATTGATGGTCAGGAGATCACTGCTACTGCTGTGCTGGCTCCCTGGCCTCGGCCGCCACCCCGGCGATTCAGCCCTCCCAGGAGAATGCTGCCACCACCTCCCATGTGGCGCAGGTCACCTCCACGGATGAGAAGGAGATCACGCTCCCCAAGACGCAGGTCCCCTGTACCAGGCGGTCCCGTTCTCCTGGCCGCCGCCGCCACAGAAGCCGCTCTAGCTCCAATTCTTCCCGATAAGAAGCTCACCCCTATAACTTATATCTCACTCAGCTCAGTTTTGTCACTTCTCTAGCCTAAAGTGAAGCAGTAGAAGAGGATCCCTAACTCGGGCAGACTTCAAAGGCAACAATGGAAACACTTGGTCTTAAGGCAGGTTCTGGCTGCAGAAATGCTGTTGATTTGGGCTTGTGTCCACAAAAGCACCCAACAGTTTTCTCTCGAGGAAGTCCACCCATTCCCACCCATTCTCTGAGAGTCTATTCAGTGGCAGAGCCTGTATGAATGAGCAAGCCTCCAGGTGGTGGAGTGCCCCAACCTTCCAGATGATTTGGGGGTGCTGTTTGCAGTCTGGTTATACCTTGGGGACCAATCTTCCATTCCCATTAGCCCTGACCCTTTGATTCCTGCTTGAGTCCTCCTGATCTATCAAATACCTAGAGAGAGAACCCCCCCTTTTAGTTGCCATAAATGGTTCTGTCTTTTCATACATCCCTACCCCATTTGTCTCCTTTACTCTGAAGTGTTTGTGAGCAGTTTGGGAACCAGCTTTGCAGATCATCATGAGGACCCCCCTTTTCACCTGCTATTCAATGGTGGTCTTGCAGGTTATCTTGGCAACATGTACATTGCTTTTTTTGGCTTTTATTGTACAGTCAGTGCTATAAAATTTGAGTTTTGTAACTTTGTAGTATTTTAGATAAGGTTGTGTTTGTACTTTGTTGTATAGAGTAAAGGAATTGAATAAACCTAGGATTATGATGTGGAAAAAAAAAGAAGTAATATAAAGTCAATGGAAAATGGAAATACACTTTTTAAAGTTTCTAATACTAGGAGAAAATGTACCACGTCTTTTAAATAAGTTGTAAGCCAAAGAAACTGTATAAATCTTAAAACAAAAATTAAGACTAAGCAATATTCAGAAAATTAAATACTAATTAAAAATTAAATGTTTCTAAACAATTGAACTAAGAAAAAGTTTTCAAGATAGTAAAGAATTTCTAAGAATAAAACATAAGATAAATACTGAAATGGCAAATGAGCAGCACTTCTAACAGTTTGGGGGTAGGATATTGCACAAAGTTCTTGTGTGTCGTGGACATGGATAATGTCCATGACGCTTACTGGTGGCCAGGTGTCACTTGTGTGACTGAGCTATTTCTATATCCTTCATATCCACTTCATATCCTTCATGGAGTTGTGGTCATTTTGCTCCCTTTCTAGAACATCTTTTAGTAGTCTGTGTAGGGTTGGCTTTATAATCATGAAATTCTTACATTCTTTGTCATGGAAGTATTTCACTTTTCCATTATACTTGAAAGAGAGTTTTGCAGGGTATATCAGTCTGGGTTGAAATTTGGTTTCTTGCAAAACTTGAGTACTTTGCTCCATGCTCTTCCTGACTTGATGGTTTGTGAAGAGAAATATGCTGTTACTCTGATGAGTTTTCCTTTAAATGTGATCTGTTTTTTTTTTTTTTTATTAGTGGCTTTTAGTATACTTTTCCTGTGCTGAATTTCTCAGATCTTGATTATTATATGTCTGGATGTGGTTTTAATTGAGTTGGTATTATTTGGAGTTCTATATGCTTCAGTTAGCTGAATGTCAGATTGTTTCCCCATATTTGGAAAGTTTTCTGCTATTACTTCTGTCCATATTCTTTTTTATATCATTTGTATTGACTCCTTCTTTCTCACTGATGCCTATTATTCTAATGTTATTCATCTTTGCATTGTCTTGAGGATGTTGAATCATTTTTTCCTGCAATCTAGTTGTTTTTAAGAGATATTTTCTTACTTTTTCACAAGCTGCAATGGTGTCTTTAAGGTCTGAAAGTCTATTTTCACTTTCATTCAAATGGTTTTGACAGCTTGTGATTGAGGTTTTAATTTCCTGCATATCACTTTGAATCTGCTTCATGCCTTCTATTTCCTTCCTAGATTGCTTATTCAAGGATTCCATCATATTTATATTCTACTCTATTTTTTTTATCAGTGTCTTCTTTAGAAGCACTTAATACTTCTTTCATTATACTTAGCGTTTCTCTTTTTACTTCAGAAATTATTTTTGACCTGATTTCCTCTATACCTTTCTGCAGTTGTTTCTTTACTTCCAACACTATTATTTCAGAAATTTCAGGTGTATGATTTCCAATTTCTTCTATGCTAATGTCTTCTGCATTTGTTCTGGGTGGGATCAGGGCCTGAGACTGGATTTGTTCCTTTTCTTTGTCATTTTGTGTAGCACTGTCTTTTGACCTTTGGTATAGAGCTTAGATAGTTATTTCCTTAGCACCAGGTCTGTATCTACCAAGTTCAGACTGGTCCAAGTGGGTGTGGCTTGGATCTGGTTGATGTTCTCCACTTCTTCCTTTTTCAGCCCTTGGAGTTGAACCCTCTGCGCCACTCTGGAAAGATGCTCTGCTTCTAAATCGCTGGGTGGGTCTTGCCTCTAGCCTCTTTACAGGGAGTTCTGCTGCAGTGTTCCATGCCTGGCATGGGCTCTGGGTCGAATGAGGATCTGGTGGGCCCTGGGTGGTCTCACATGCCGGGCCTGGGCTTGGGGTCAAATCTTAAGATTCTCTTGGAAGAAAAAAAAAGTGATTTCAAAGACAGGAATTGTGTTTTCTTTTGTGTTTTACCAGCCTATCATTGTGTCTAGCATATAATAGATATTTATGAAAAGTCTTCTAATTGAGTAAGAGGGATAGATAAATAAATGAGACAAATGTTAGCTGTCCTTCGCTGTTTCCTGACTTTCCTTACTGTTTGTTTGCTGATAGTTTTGACCAGCAGAGGGTGTCGAAGATCCATTTTAGGATCAGAGTGACTTGGGGCTGGAGGCTATAGAACCATATATAAAAAGGAAACGGCAAAAAGAATTAAGAAGTGCTTTATGCATATGCCAACTTCCCACGATGACAGTAATATGTTCTAGCAAAATAAAATTATTAAAAAGCAAAACAGATAAATCTGGAATTGCCAAGAAGGCTTAATTTCTTTTTCTTTTTCTTTTTTTTTATGAGCAGAATATATTTATTGAGAGAAAGAAAGCTCCTGTCCAAGAAAGGGACAGGAGGGGGGCCCAAGCGGGTAGTTCCCCG